CAACAAGAAAGTGTTTTTACATAAACCATACACAAAGCTGGGAATTGTAATGAGGAGGAAGAAAAATTTTAGGTTGTTTTAAGTTACAAACCTGGACACGACTCCAAAGCAATGGGACAGTGGCCCTAGCCTTATTCTGAATATAAACATTTGTCCAAAGAGGCTGATAAGGAAACTCCAAAAGAAGTGTTTCTGTATCTGTTGACTTGTTATGATTGCTAACAATAAGGCTTCGAGGAACTGCATCATATAAAGTCCCAGCCCCGCCTGCATTTTCTGGACAAGCATAGCTATTTCCTCCTGAAAATGAGATAATTATGTCACATCCCCTCATTCCACATCAAGAAGTAATCACCACCAAAACAACTTTTTTAACTACTTCAGGAGGGCTTTCATAAAAGCTGACACAATTACATTTTAAGATTATCATAACTTAAATTAATATAACAATAAATAACAATTTATCGTCTGATAGAACACATGGTGTCTCACCATGCACAAAAATTTGGGGGTCATCATGCCTACTATAGACATCAACTGACACTCTTCCACCGCCACCACCAGCATAACCATCACCACCACAAGCACTTATCCTGCCACTACCAGTCCTGCACTTCATAACAACAGAATTCTTTAGAAGGCATATAGGTCACCCAGGATAAGATTCACATGGTAATACTTGTAGTGATAAAAGTTGATGCAGATGTAAAGCACAATCACACCAAGAGTCACATGGACTTGGGGCATGAGAACAATGAGATGAAACATGGTGGCACATTTACAAGCACCTATGCACACATAAGAAGCACACCTGAATAATATATATTGTTCATGTTTTGTTTCACAAACCATGCACCCCAGTTGTTACTTTTCTAGCATTTTTTTGTCACCGGCGTAGAAAACAACAATCAAAACACAAATTCAAACATATAACTAAAATTTAAGATCAAGCATCATTCTCCATCACTTTACTTATCCACAAAAACTCCATTCCAAAAGACAAGGACGTGGATGTAGACTAAACAAGAGTTTTAGAATGCATGTCAAGAATCAAAAGTACAACCAATGTGTGACTGAAACACGCACATATATCTGCCCGGACATCTATAAGCAAAATCTGGGTGAACCCAACGTAGCATTGTAAAATTTTACTCCAACCGATCAAAATTTATGTTCTGTCAGTTCTTTCAATGTTCCACTCTATTTGTCTTGCCTCAACGAACTAAAAACTCAACCAAACCAAGGATATAATCACGTTAGGTATCGAAGTATATCGTACATAACTTTTATGTTCCCTTGCATTTCCGTAACATTCTCAATATGAACAAATAAATTCAAACTCGTCTTAACCACAGTAATCTTATATCTACTCTCTCCTACAATTCTCATCAACATATGAATAAAAACATAACATGCTCATTTAACAGAAACAACCAATACAGAATTTAAATGTAGGAGAATTGATGATGAACATTACATTTTATAAGCCTTAATGAAGATGCTGCCACCAGAACCACCGCCACCTCTATTCCCTCCGCCACCTCCTTCAGCCAAAACCCTCCCCTCCACCACCAGAAATTCCTTCACTTGCAGTCTCACCCTCCCTCCCCCTAAACCTCCATAATCTACCTCCCTACTGGTCGAACCGCCTCGGCTCCCAAAACTAGCCGGCCTCTGCAGTGATGACCACGAGTACGCATCCCCTCCCCACACGTCCTCGGGAAGCTTCCTCTTGTCCACCAAACAAGACGCCCCCCGCCCTCCATGTCCCCCTCCCGCCCCATCTATCCCCTGCGGAGTCCCACTCGTCTGAGGCGGCGGCTTTCCCGCCAACGCCGTCGTGTTCAGCACCGAGCCCTCGAGAAAGCTGGCATTGTGCGCCGTGAGCTCGAAAGCCCCAGCCAAAAGCGACGCGTTGCTGCCTAAACTAAAGTTACCAGTAATGTTAATAATTATCGCGCAGCCAGGAATCGTGCAGCCGAATCTCACTCCGGGCAAGATATAAAAGCTGCCCCTCCCTGTTATGTACACATCGCTGGTGAGGTTCGAATCGGAGACTATCTGACACGTGGCATCCAGAGAGCCGACGCCGCCGAGGTCATCGATGCACGATACCGACGGCGGGAGCGGCGGCGGAGGTGGCGGAGCCGGCGGCGAGTAGTCTTGGTGGAAGAGATAGGAATCGGAATCGGAGGCGGAGGAATCGGTTATCGTAAACTCATCGTCTACGGAAGCGAGGAGGAGGTAGCTAGGGTTTGCAGTTAAGGCTATCAGGGCGGAGAGGAATGCGATGAGGAGAGTGGGACGGCGGAGGCGAGCCATTCAGTGGTGGCGAGAGTCATTACTCATGAGATTGAATTGGGAAATTTCTGGGAAGCGAACTGGAATTTAGGGAATTTTCGAATGCACTAAAACGCAGAATTCAGCGTGTGAATTTTTGCGTTTTGGTGTGCGAATTGGCCTGAAGAAATCCCACAGGCAACCCTAGCAATCGCTTCTGCAACACTGAGAAAGAACGAGGGGACAGGGTGGGGAACAGGAACCTCATTGATTTTTAGGAAGGTTGAGGAGGTTCGAGGAAATGATAACCTGCATCAGGTTCCACATAAATCTTGTTCGTGGAAGGCAACTATTGGTTATCGTGTGCGAGTCTTTTGTGATCGACTTACTAGCATTGGTGTTCCCGCTTAGCGTTTCGTAGGGTTGAGCGCAGGTGATCATACGGTCAGATGGATCTCACGCTGCTAGAGAGAACGTTAAACACACTCTCCGGGAAAACGGAGATAGAAAACGATTAAGCGGGAAAACGACGGCGTTTACTGTTGCCTGCCTAGTGGCGGTCCGCAGGCAAGAATTTTGGCAGTTAAAAAGGTAATGGCTGCTTACCCGCGGGGGAGCGAGCTACGTGACAGACGCAAAGACGCTGTGCCAGCGCGGCAGCTACACCGAAGTTTGACTTATTTTTCAAAGGGAAACAGGGAATTGATTGGTTTGTGACGTCGTCAAGGGGTGAGGCAGGTGACGGAGTCGTTTTCTTAACAGAATGGATTAGGTAGCTTCCTGATGATTTAAAAGAAGGACGCGTGTCAGCTGGGGTGAAAGCCAATTGAATGAACGCTTACTCACTCGCAGACTTAAGGGCGTGTTTGGTTGCGGGGCTTTGCGTGGTTAGTTGGGAGGAGTGGGATTTTCTAACTAATTTATTTCCTTTTATAATAATTTGTTTTTTGGAGTATTTGTTGACAAATGAATGGATTAATCACTAAAGTTGTAAATTTTGGTGGTTTGTGAGTTTATTATTTGTGCAAGTAACGTCCCCTCTCCGCCAAAAACATAGTCGGTAGTGAAGTTTGAAGTTATATAATATTGTTGAGCGTGAGTTTTAAGGTCGGATGAGAGGCATATGAATGGCTTGGTAAAAGAAAAATGACAAAAATTCGGTAAATTATGTTTTTTCAAACTTAGTCTTTGATAAAATAAAAAAAATAAAAAACTTATAATCTAATTAGAGCCGATGAACTATAATATTTTGTAACATTGTCTTATAAATTATATATGTCATAATTTATATGCGAAACAAAATTATTAATTTCTTGCGTAGTTGAGCAAGATTCATACGCACGGTTAAATGAATTAATTTTATTAAAATAAAGTGAGCAAATTTTAAGTTGTAAATTGTTATATGTTGTACTATAGATGGGGCTTTAATATTTGGACCTGACTACTTAGCTCATGATGTATGTAGGACAGTAGGAGAAGAGGAAAACTCTTGTTCTATAAAGGATCTTTCACCCTCACTTTAGGAGATGGCAAACCCTAACCTCTCTAGCAACAAGCTTTCATGTACAATGTAACCTTCATTTTACATAATGAAACTGAATCTACACCAATGTGGATGTAGCCCCAACTTGGGGTGAACCATGATATATCGTTGTGTTCTTGTTCGTATGTGTGATTTACGATCAGATTTAGTTGGGCCAAAATCAAGCTGATTTTGTGCATCAACATAATACAAAAATGAGTATTAACCCAAAACTGCGAAAATTTAGTTACGGATCTTAACCTTTCCACAAATCAGGTGCTCGACAGAGAAACCATAAGATTCGTAATATAAAATAAAAAAAAAATGGGAAGGGGTTGTCTCATGTAACGACGAAGTTGGAAATAATGTTCATAAGGGAGGAACAACTAAGAATGGCAGATGTAGATCTTTGTGAAATTCTTAAAAGACCACACATAATGGCAAACATTTTTTTTTTTTTTTTTCAATTTTAAGTGAGGCAGTTCATTTAGCACTTGACCAACCCACACCCATCGTGTGCTTAGGGTACATTCCACCCTTTGTGCCATTTTAATTGGATCTTTAGGGCTAATTATTTATGCATAGGGTTTTGAGGTCAAATTCATTAGACGTATGGGAGGAGGAAATTCTTCTTCTTTAGCTGCCAAAATCAACTCTACAACTAAACATTTTTGTGTTATATCTGCATCCTAGTAGTTTTTTTTTATGATAAGTGAGTGATAGAGTTAGTGGTGGTAGTGAGGAGAATCCTCCTCCAAAAGGTATATACCAAAAGGAGAGAAGAGTGGCATCTCCTGAAGCGAGTGGTGTAGAGAAAATATCAAAGAGGGAAAAGGGACATCTCTAACGATGGCCTTTGCAAGAAAAATATCTTAACGAGTCATCCTATTATACAACAATGTACGCCGCCCATTAAATTATGCCATACGTTGGTGTACTCTAAAATTATGCGTTTAAGTTTTTTGAGAACCTGATTTTCTGCGTGTTTAAGCACTGTTTTCATATTTAAGTGACAGAAAACCGGTCATGGGAGTTGAAGGTATGAGGTAAACAAGTCCAAGCTTTCCAGTTTCCATGGCACACAACATCCTTATCCAAAAAATCAAGCTACTTTGTAATCACGGCCTTCAAACGGCTACGTAAGCCTCATTGCGTGGAGGGTGAGCTGACATAGTTGAGAGACAAAACACAAAAGATCTGGAGGGAGAAGATGCACACAAATGTCAATTTAGCATTCAGCAAGTAAGCCTGATTCACGGAGTTTAACCGCATGACTCGTGTATAAACAGTAGTTCATATCATTTATATGTACCGGAGACATATATGCAACCACCTCTATGCTATACAATCGCACCAACGAAAATGAAAGAATGCTAAGCATACAATACAACATTATGATCTTTACATGAGAGAACCGAAAAATTCCCACGGTAGAGTTGAGCTGAAATTTTGGCAGGGAACTAACCGAAGGTCACCCATGATTCTGTGTATCCGTTAATCTTTATCAGAAAGAAGCTATGGTTGTCAGTGTATGATGACTAATTCTCCCAGCCTACTACTTCTGATAGAGAAGCTCAGAATGACTTGCTCTTTTTCGTATTACTCTGAATCTACTAGTTTTTCAAGTAATGGCTTAAACTTCTGTGTGTTTCATCGTCCCTTAGCTTCGTGAGAGCTTTCTTTTCTATCTTCCGTATCCACTCCTTGCTCACATCGAAAAGCTTTCCAATCTCCTCAAGTGACTTGGGGTCGTAGTTGTTTAACCCATATCGCAGCACCAACACTTGCCTCTCCTTCGAGTTCAAGCATTTCAGCAGATCATGGATGTCTTTTTTCATGTGCTGTCTCGTGACAGTTTCTTCAGGGCTTTTTATTGATGTGTCCGGTGTAAATTCCTGAATCATTAACACAGAACAGGTTTTATAGTTACAAAATAACCCCACTACTTTCAACAAAATCTTCCAATTTATTGCAGGTCTGCAGGATTTTGCATATTTTACAAGGTTAGCTTCCCAAACTATAGAAGCTTCGGTCGCTGACATGTAAGGAGTAAGATAACTGAAGTGTACAAACTACAACATGAGTCTAACGACAATGATCTTCATTTTGCTCTTTCAATTACTATTCGCCCAACTAAGTCTTAGAAAAAAAGAAGTATGAGTTTAAAATGGGAATGAAAGAGAGAGATGGAAAGGATTAGTTAGATCATTACCATAAAAGTCCCAGGAGAGTTGTCCCACATCTTGTCATTTACCGAACCCACAACTCTCAGACATGTGCTAGCTGATCTGATTCTCACCAACGAAAGACCTGTAATCTTTGCAATTTCATCATCGTCTGGGTATCTCATGTGGCTGTTGTAAGTGGCTTTGCGAGCTTTCTGTATCTGATTTATTGCCTTGCTTAGCGTGAACTAAAACAAAAACAACTCAAGGAGTAAACACCATCACTCACTGAGACAATATTGTATTGAGTTTTTCAAAGAAGGGTGGAACATACAGGAATTTGGATTTCCCTAGCATGCCGTGCCACCAATCTTGACATTGATTTCTTTATCCAGTATCGGACATAGGTTGAGAATCGGTAACCCCTCGAGTGATCATACCTTTCTGCACCTTGCAGGAGACCCTGGTTTCCAGCCTGTGAAATAGGGGTAACTCAAGAGATAGACTAATAAATTGAGAGTAAATAAGCATAGTAGTAAGAGTGTCAAGAAAAAAAATTAGAATTTCTGCGCTGAGTTTTGCCATCTGATGAAAACTGGTTTTCAGTGATCAACAACGAACTGTCTCGAACATAATCGCATGTAAATTATATCACAAAAAGTTTACTTAGATTTCACAAACCTGCAGTAAATCATCCATGGCTACTCCTAGCCCTCTATAGCTTCTAGCAAGGTATAGAACTAAAGAACGAGTGCTCCTTATAAGCTCATCCTGGCAGGAACAACCAAAATGCAATTTCTGTAACAGCACCTTCTCGCGAACTCCCGCTGCTTCCGCCCAACAACTTAAGGTAGCTACTGTGCCAGTTTCCTTTTCCAAAGTTGCTTTAATTCTCTCCAAATTGGCGATCACCTGTTATGAAACAAAAGTATAGCTGGTAAAGACATCCTTCAAGGAAGGAATCGAAGTTTCGTGTTAATCTATATATTTGAAGATAAGTACAACCTTAACCCCGGTTGACATTTCTGCCTCATTTTTAGCTATTGTAAGTCTACTCTTTCGATACTTTGATGCTCTTTTCGCTGATGAAGCAGTAGGATGTTTTGAACCTTCCCAAGTTGATTTAGGAGGCAATGAGTCAGAAGAAACTCTGACATTATCTAATGCTCTTTTTCTTGATCTTCTTTCCTTCTTTTTCCCAGAACGTACAATAATCTTGCCTCTGTCGTTATCTACTTTCTTATCCATCTTATGACCTTCAATCTGTACAGTAGGTATGTCAGACAAATCAAAAAAGCTTGAGGATGTAAGAGTTCTTAATAGACAGGCATCAAATAACTGTAGAGCTCCAAGCTTCCTAATTGCAAAAGTATCTCTTTTTCCAACTTTAACACATCTGAATTAGCAAAAGTCTCCTCCAGAGCATCAAGATTTTTCAGTAACAAAATAAAATGAGCTGCACTGCAAGATTCTAAGGTGTTAACGGGTCTAAAGTTTCCATCTGCAACAGGCATCTGGTTATTCCCAGTCGTGTTGGACGAACTACTCCTAAAGCTTATCTGAGAGGAAAAAAGTCATGTTAAGGTTTTCATGAACTTAAAAAACAAAGAAAACGTAGTGCGAATAAAATTGTGACGCTTTTAAGCAACAATTCAATAAGGGCAAACATTCACCTGTTCCATTTCAGAGACGCCATCCTCTAAGATCTGCGGTGAAGCAGATGAACAAGAGTACACCTTCAGAGTATCTTTACCGGAAATCTCGCCTTCCTCAGAAATAATGGACAGGAATAACAGCCTTGCCGAGTTGAAAGAGCCCTCCCTGCCTCTAACTGTATCATCATTTTATATCGAATATCATAAATATAACAAAAATTGACAGCAAATACCAATGTGCATTACTTATGGCAGATGGAACTTCAACATCGCAAAGATTGAATTTTTTATTTTTGTTGACAATACGTTATTCTAAACTCCTCTACTTTATGGGGAGGATTTGAACTTGGGTGCAACGGAACAGGCACACTACCCTAGCCAACTAGCCTAACCCCGTCTGCCATTGATTGAAAACTTCCAGTCCCAATTCTTAAACATGCATTTTGATCATCTCAAAAATTCACTTTGGCAGCATGATTCTTTTAGGGTTTTACTTAAGAACATACTCCAATGTGTATCAGATTACAAAAAGCATATGCAAATATGCAATGCAAAATAGTAGTTCAAACAAAAACCCAACCCAAACATGAAAGTTAAAAGCAAAAGAAACATTCTTTTTTCCGAAGCAGAAGCAGGAAATCAACTGGGGAAAAAAGCCAATCAAAACAAACTCACCAGAAGTAAAAGAGAGCTTGGAAGGAGAAGCAGGAGTTTGCCAGTGAGAGTGATGAAGTGGAATGCCAGACTTGAGGAGGTTGAGCCTAAAACCAAAACCCATTGTCCTTCAGCACCGAAAGAGGCAGCGGAGCAATTGAGTCCATACAAAAAATCTTCATGGAGTTTTGTTTCGATGACAAGTTTCAAATTCCCCAACCTCCACCACCGATTCTTCATCTCCCTAAACGTTTGGTGAACCCTGTTTTTTTCTGCACTTGTTTGTTTTCTTGGGCTTCCTCGCTTGCTGGGCTTTTGGATCAAGGACGACAAGAAAGCCCGGGAACTTGTGAGACCCGAGGCCCCAATTAAGGAAAATGGTTGGTATTATTTATAAAACCAATTTCAAGTCAAAACCATCAATTCCATTTTCTTTCATCTAATTAATCAAAATGAAATATGACGGACAAACCAACCACGTATCTGTACTGCTACACACATAAAATCGAGATAATACATATCTCATCACTCTCACTCATGGAAAAATGGCACATCCAACGAACTTATACAAAAATTACTTTTAAATGAGAGATACTCTCATGTAATCGGTAACGTCACATGACAAACATTTAAATGAATCGGTAATATTATTAAAATTATACATAGATAAAATATTCTCTCTCGAAGGTACAAACCAAAGCACCATGATTTATGTCCTATCGTTAAGTGAGCAAAAAAAAAAAATGTTTTTATTGCATAATTAATCTAAAATCGTTCTAAAGAATCATGGCAATTGCCAATTAAGATGCAAGAAAACGAAGGGTTAAAACTTTTTGGTCATAGTGTTTATACTTGAAATTTTATGGGAACTGCTATTAACACTTCAAAAATTCTATTTTACACTCTTCATAAGTGTATTTTTCATTCTAATTATATAAATTTGAAGTGCAAAATGAAATTTTTAGAGTATCGATAATAATTTTTTTATTTTATTTAGTGTGTTTACAAAGTTTGAAATATTAGTCACTTTAGTTAATTTTTTTATTAAAATGTGTTAAAATATTTGTTTATCAGTAAAAATTAATAATATTAAAGATATTTATCTAAAAATAACTCTAAAACGAAAACAAAAATAGATAAAATAATACAAAATAAATAGGGTAAATTTTCAAAAAAATATAACACGTGCAGGAGAATTAACTGTCAAACTGTCAAAGTCGCTAGCTTCCATTCAGAGCCGAAGCTTCTCGTTAACCACCAACCCCGTCAGCAATGGCAGCTCCAGTTCGCGGTGCCGGCCCATACCCATTTACCCGAAGTCAAAGTCACGAATCGATAGCCAAGATTCGCAAAAACCCACATTTCATATTGCGATTCTCCAGCGTATGCAACTGCTGAATATTCAAACCTCTCGCATTGACCGAAGATTCTGCGGATTTGCAGAGCATGGAGGCAATGGAGGTGGAGATCGGGGGCGATGGGGTCATACTGACGGAGGAGCCGTCGAGGGTGATCAAACACAGAGGCGGCAAGAAAAACGCGGGGAAACAGAAAAGGAGCAAAAATAAGAGGACGATGACGACAAGCGGGAAAAAAGAAACGTTTTTTCACATGCCGAAATTTCGGTGCTTCAGCTCGAAACCCGAAACGGATACGAAAGGGGGTTTCGATATGGAGGTGGAGGATGCAACTGGTGGAAAAATGAGCCCGACCCATTTGATTATTTTGGTGAACGGTCTCATAGGCAGGTCAGTGGAAATTGTCCTCTTTTTTCTAAGTCTCTGTTTGGTTAATTTGTATGTGGGTTAGGCCAGTTTGCAAGGGCGGTGGGCCCGAGGCCTTGCACTCGAGTTCTCATCTCCGTTCTTGTGTGTTAGAGTAGATCAGAATATCGCTTGTGTCGAAAGATTAAAAAAAATGAAAGTGGGTTAGTTGAGGGTTGAGCTGATTTTGTGCATTTTTGTTGCAGTGCTGAGAATTGGAAATATGCAGCAAAGCAGTTTCTGAAGAGATACCCAGAAGATGTTATTGCTCACTGTGAGTCCTTTTCTTGTAAAAGCTGGTTGCTTTAGCAATTATTTTCAAAGTAGTCTACTTGGTAACTAATGAAATTAGAGGGCAGTGTACCAATTAAATTTCCAAGTAATGAAATGACTTTGCAATGCAGGTAGTGAATGCAATTACTCAATGTTGACCTTTGATGGTGTTGATGTAATGGGAGAGAGATTAGCAGAAGAGGTGGGTTAGTTCTTTTCTTCGATTTCTTCAGTTGGAACCTACTTGTTCATCATTTTCCATTTAAATTAGAATCATGGGTTTTGATTTCGTATTCGTTGGCTGGGTTCGTGTATGAAAGCGTTGTTTGAGTTGATTGGTATCATAATCGTTTTGATTTTCAGGTTATTTCTGTGATAAAACGTCACCCTAGTGTTCAGAAGATCTCGTTTGTTGGTCATTCGTTAGGCGGGCTTATTGCAAGGTATGCCATTGGAAGGCTTTATGAACGAGACATCACTGAAGAACTATCTCAAGAAAATGGAGAATATAGGAGAAATGGAGTTGAGGATCCGTTGCTCGAACACAAAGTCGAAGGCAAAATTGCTGGACTGGAGCCTGTGAATTTTATAACGTCTGCCACTCCGCACCTTGGTTCCAGAGGGCATAATCAGGTGAATCAAGTTCGTTATGAACTTATAATCGTATGCTTATTAGAACATCCATTTAGACATCAAAGTACTACTTTTTTGATGCCATTTCATTGCAAAATCATGAGAGTTTGTTTTAGTTGAATGAAGAATCTGGCATTTATTCACACAAGTACCACCATAAGAGGATGAATAACAATTGGGGTTCACCACCCCAAATTTGCGTCATTTTTTCTAAACAACCAAGACTTTCGGGAGGGCGTAATTAATTGAATTGTCATATCTAAACAATACATGAAAATTTGAAGCTTTTTAATTTTATTTTATGAGAAGAGAATTAGTACAAGCGAATGTTTGCTTGATCTGCCTACAAGTTAGGTTCCATTTTCTGTACTTCTTGATTATGTGTTGGTTTGATGTTTCAGGTTCCACTGTTTTGTGGCGTAAAACCCCTTGAAAAAGTAGCAGCTCGTACTTCATGGTGTCTAGGTAGAAGTGGAAAACATCTGTTTTTGACTGATAAGAAGGATGGAAAACCTCCCCTTCTTCTTCAGATGGTCAATGATTCAGAAGATCTTAAATTCATGTGAGTCCTTATAGAGAATTACATCTTCTTCTTTTGCGTAACATATGGTTGGTTATTGTCGTTGATGATTCTAGAACTTGCCATCATATCTCTTCTTGTCTCTCCAGATCTGCACTGCAGTCTTTCAAGCGCCGTGTTGCCTATGCAAATGTTCGTTTTGACTGTATCCTTTTCATATTTGTGTGTTTGTGTTACATTTAGACTTTTATTATTTATTAATCTTCATTGTTGAAGCAGACATGTGGGATAAGATAATTTGGCGTTCTGATCTTCGAATGTAAGTAAAAGTTTGAGTTAGTCGAACTTTGAATTTGACACTTGCAAATATGTTTATTACTATGTCCATCTTTCATGCGAAGCACTTAACAACTCTTATAGCCCTTGTCGGATGGAGTACATCATCTCTACGGCGTAAGAACGAGCTGCCAAAGGTATTTCTGAAGCTACTCATGGGTGCGTTGTTTGTGTCTGGAGTTAATCTTAACATGAACTTTTCTACCAGCTTAAACATTTATCTAGAGAAGAAAACTATCCACATATTATAAATGTGGAGACAATTCAAAGTCCAAGTCCCCGAGAAGAATTACCGTTGGAAGCCATAGCCAGTGGGCGCAAGAAAATTGACTTCGAAGGTTTGCTAGTTGTGTATCTTAATTGACTAAAAACTTATTCCCAGTGATTCATTTCTCTCTGAAGCTTATTCCAGCTATAGTATGAAGGAATTTTTACTCAGAGTTTCATCACCCTACGGATTATATAGGAATAGAACATGCACTAGTTGTAGACAGATTGAAAGAAAACCATTGGGAAGTCTGAATTTTAATATTTGTGAGCCGATTAGTAGTTCTATGATAAATTGACGATAATAGTAGTAATTATAAAGTTGGAGGGAGAAAAAGTGTGTTGTGGGAGGCATCCAATATGGATGGTTTTGTTTTGAATAGAACTAGTTGGTATTTTCTATCTGTAGTTGTCACATTCATCTGATAACTCATTTTTTTTATTCGACCCCATGATTGCCATATTATGAGCTCTTAATTCTTAGCTCCTTGGCATTTTATTCACTAACTTCACAGCACGATTACAGAGGAAATGATCAGAAACTTGACCAAAATGAGCTGGGAACGGGTGGATGTGAACTTCAGGGAAGTAAACAAAGATACCTTGCGCACGGTACCATTCAGGCAAGTCGATGTTTTTCCTTGAAATTCGTCGTGTTTAACAAAAAATTCTTGTAACGTAGCTGGAAAGATTAATCAAATGCCTACAGAAATTAACCATTGTCCTTCTTTTTCTTATTCGTTTCACAATGCATGTTGTTCCATCCTCGAAGCTACGTAATTAAAGAAGCAGCTCGATGTGACATGCATTAAGGTTTTTATTGTGTTTTTGTGGGACAGGTGCAAAACGGTTGTCTATACTCTGATGGGGCTGATGTGATCCAACACATGGTCGACAATTTTCTTGTGTGAAATGTGCCAATTTGTTTTCAACTCAAACCCAAAGCCAGCGGAATTGCATGCCCTACGGCAACATTGGCTTCGGAAGAGAAAAGTGAAGGATCAAGATTCTGGGCCGTGCTTTGAGCGTGTGTTGATAAGATTTCAAGCCATAGATATCTTATCTCAGACTTGGAATTGAAGCCTCGGGATCTGAAATGGACATCAACGGAGTATGCATAAAGGCGGCCAGAAGGGGAGAGAGGCAATGTGAACTTCCTGAGGCAGGTGGTAAGATCGATGTGGATGTGACATTACGATCTATCTTCTTGTATTAACATCATTCATAGAACTCAAGTGCTTCTAATTTATCGGAAATGAGAACAAATTAAGTGCTATGATGTCATCGGTTATTGTTTAGTTGATGAGAAATGATTACGAAGCTGTTCATACGTTCGTACACACGTAAGTATGTTGTAATTGAGAGAGAGATGAGATTTAGTTGGTCATTTTTTACATCAGTAAAAGTAGCCAGAATCAGTTTTTTGTTCTTCCTGCTAGGGTTGTCCAAATTAAGTCTAGTAGTTTCGTTTCCATATGTTTGTTGCATGCGTGCACCGCACGTAGGAAATCCGAAATCCTACAGTTTAAATTAGAAATACATTGTTTTGGTTTAGGATTCTCCTAGTCAACTCTGTAAGTTTGTTTCCTTTTCGGACTGGGAATATACACATATAATACATACATACATACATACATATATATATATATAAGCCTGCGCCTGCGCCTGCTTCTGCGTCTGCTTCTTCCTTCAACATTAATGAAACCAATTCCAAGATTATAACTCCCCTGGCTTACCAATCGACTCACTCAAAAATGACTCCTTCAAGTTTCGGTTACAATCTGGTGGAGACTTGCAACGCATGATTGGATAAGACCCGCTTACGCGTTTGGCTACGATTCGTGCACCAATGACTATAAAGTTTTGACAATTTTCAGTCACCAACGTTCTACTGGTCCTGCCGTGGACACCCCATTTGCCGTCCAGGTTTACTCCTTAGCCAGGGGCTCCTGGAAGACTCTTAGTCCTTCTCCTCCTACTGTTTCTATTCCTGGTTCCGATCTTCTGCATATAACGGTGCATCGTAAGTCTGTTTTCAATGGTGCCGTGCACTGGTTTCTATGCCGCAATCTAA